GAAAATGTTATTAATAATACAGTTAGATAATAATAAGATTATTATTTATTATTAATTAATTATTAATTTACGCATATATTTTGGCGACTAAAATTTTTCACTGGCGACCAAACCTGAACAGTCAGTGGCCAAATGGCCACTAAGGAAAAAAGTTAACTTGGAGGGTTGCATTAGAATAGCTCTTTTTTAGAACCTCTTATTTGTCCAGATATCCGTATACTAGTAGAGTGACCCTCTCAAATCAGTTGAAATTTGGTAAGTAATTGCTGTATTTTTTAAACGGCCAAAAAATTAAAGCGGCAAATCGTGTTTAGCTGAGATGAGAAATAGCTCAAAGAAATGATCAAAGCGTAAATTACATACTATGTGAATATGAAGTCAAGGCAAGTTTCCTTCTTCCTGTACCAGGGGGCCTGTTGAAAATGCTCAATTTTGCCCACTAGATTCCATCGGTCATCTTGGTTGATGAGGGGTATAACTTGTCCAGATTTCACCAAAATGTGAACTCGCTAGAACTTTTAAAGTATGTTTCTGAAAATAGTTCCCGAAAGGGTCTTTTTGATCCGTCGGCGGATTCTCCATATTTACAGGTAGTGGCCCTTAATTACCTCACATTTGCTTTCTTAAGTTCATCTTTCTACTATTCTAAGATGTCTTTGTCTGAGATAACGTTGTCTATTAAAGGGACATAATTATGATACACAAAACATTACCGTATAAGTAGAAAAAACAACGAAAAAAGGTCCTGAATTTGATAAAGAGCCAGTTTACTACTACATGAGGTGCGAAGGAGGATGCACATTAGAACAGTTCTGATAACGAGTATGATGACAAAATACGTTGATGTGAAATAAGTTGCGGTCCGATTCCTGAACCGGGCGACTCACCCCAAGCAAAAATACAAAGGATTGTCCTTTTCCAGTGGCTGTCGTTTGAATCATTTCACTTGGTGTTGTGAAAACTCTTGTTTCAGCATAAACAAAGAGTAGGTTTCCTGCATTTACTATACTGCAGTCTTCAGTTAATACTTATGGCAACGAAGACTGCGAACGTTTCCTTTATTTTATCAGTTCGATCACCAATTCGCCATACAACGTCCGATCGATCGATCGTCAACAGCCGCCTCGTTCCCAGGATTTTTGAGTTTCATTAAGAGTATTAAGACTGGAAGAGGAGATGGCAAAACAACTCCGGAGTGGTCGGGCAGGGATGTTCATAGTCTTGCGATCTTCGAAACATATCTAGAAGTATTCTTAAACCTAGCTTATACGACAGCATTTTAAAAACTTGAGAAATATTTGGGCCACTATGGCCTATCTTCGGTAGTCTTCAAAAATTTTGCAAAATCTTCAGTCGGAACTCTTCGAAATGTCTTCAGTGATGATTCAAAACGTACTTCGACCTTCGAGAGTCTTAAACTGTACTTCGTTACCACGTTATGAAGTAAGCCTTATATTCTT